AATTAAAAAGTATGAAATCGTATGGAGTCTCATAGAATTAAAAAAAAATTAAAATAAATGATATCAAATGAAAATCGTAACAAAAACTAAAAAGATTGCTCTAATTGAAAAGTCTTATGCTAAGAGTATTGACTTAAAAAATTGAAGATAAATACAAAAACTTGTAGTTCTCCATTTTTTAGAACAATCTACAATCTGAAACCACGGTTTCAATAGAATCATAGGTAGTGTACTGACAAAAACTCAACAAAAAATCCACTATAATACTAACATCTTCACGCAGCATTTCAATCACATTAAAAAAGGTACCCACTGTTTATTCAGATATCTGCACATCACTGAACCATTCCATCTTTTATTATTGTAAGCAAGAAGTTTATAACAGTTATTAGATATCGAATATGTTCTCCGAGAGTACATTCAGGATCTATTATAGCGGATCTATTTGATAATTACATGGGATATCTCTGAAGTTGAGAATCCACTAATGAAAATATTTTGTAAGATGTTCCAATTAGGTTTTTAATGTAAACTGCCAAACTAGCTCATCCATTTTGTATTACAACTACTGAGAATCAGGCAAGAAAAATATTAAACTGTCTTGGCATATCATTTAATTATATATAATATCATTTTAGATAGCCATAAAATATTCTAAATGTCATTCGGACTATACTCAAAGATTTTAGTACAGATGATATAAATACATTCCTTGTATAAATGCTGGGACCAGTCATATCAAGACCAGTTATATCAAGACTACCTTAATATAAATATTGCTGTACTCAAAATATTAACTAATTCAAGACAAGCTATAACTTTTCATATATGAACAACTTCTGACTGAAAGACGCTAGAGTGTTTAAGAAGCCTATAATATCAGAATATACTCGCTGTCATAGCAAAAAATTCGTTATCTACACCATTATATATCTTAGATTGATATAGATTTTCAATAGAATATTATAAACAATATTTTTAAGAAAGATAATTTAATAGCCACGAATTATATATTTAAGATTGAAGTAGGTTTTCGTTAAGGCCGATTTTAAAGCCATGTCCTAAGTACGAATTATATTAAAGACAGACTTAGACATTGCTAAAGTCAAAATAAATAGAATAAATAAAGTCACAATATAACAATATTTTACGAAAAATCTCACCTTGGTTTCCACATTGGCCCAATTGAAGAGTTATTATCTCGGTTGGCATTCTAAAAGTCACATCAAGAAAAAATTAACAAACTATTTACTTTCAGTGTACAAAGTATCCGGAATTATTTATTACAACACTCAATCAAAATTTGTTGTATCGCTTTTAAAGTGACAAAGTGTTTAAAGTATTTTCTAAACATTTTTCGAAAATTTATTTAGATATGTTTCTCAACTACTTTCTTTTAGGTTCGCAATCGTCTTAAAGATATTTCTCGAAGTTGTACTTTAGTCTCGGGTAAAGAAAATACCTACACGCGATCATGTCATCAAAACCGTTAAAGTTTTTACCACAAATATCTTCAAGACGATGGTTTATAGTGGTATCATTTGTAACAGCTTTCAAATTAAAAATTCCGCATACTTTGTACACTGATTGAATTGAGTAATTAATGTCTTTAATAATAATATATATAATATTATAAGTATATATACATATATATGCTGCTAATGACCAAAAAAAAAATTGTTTTGCAAATTTAATTTCCATCTGAAGTAAAAGATTCCTGAGGCAAATTTCGAGACGAAATGTGGGAACTACCAATACTGCGCGGTTAATAGAAATGTCCATTTATAATAACCACCATCTAACAAAATTATTATATAGAATAGTATAGAATATTATATTTTTTATCTAAAGTCAAAATTATATGCATTAATTTTATATTTAATTTAAAAGGATTATTATTTTTTAATGCCATCATAAATATTTTCCATTACCACAAATACTTCTATCGTTTGAAGAACTTTAAATTTTGACAGAAAATTATTTTGTAATATTTATGAGACAAATATTGTCTAGCAATAAAATTGATATTGTATTTTAAAAATAAATTTAACATTACAAATACATTTCTTATTTCTTGTATGATTTATCACAACGCGCAAAAAATGTACCAGCCAATTATTTTTGGAACGTTCAAATATGCAAAATGAACCAAAAAAAAAAAAAAAATAAACAATACAAGAGAACGAATTTGAAAAAGTGCGCCAATAATCACAAAAATTGAAAAAAAAATTTAAATTGAGGTTAATGTCCACTATGAATATCTAAATTTAGGTTAAGAACTGACCAACAACGTAAATTGAAATCGAAAAAGCTCTAAAATTGATACGCTCAAGGACATTTAATGCCGTCGCCACTTACTCTGTCGTACGAAAGGGAATAAGTTTTTTTTGCCAAAAATATGTAAGCCACCGACACGCAAAAGTGAGTCTTCACAAATTATAAACGATTTCCAAAAACCGAAATGCAAATTGGAGCGAGAATAATAATAAATAACTGCAATTTCATGTGAACCAATGAGTTTTACTAAAAAATCAGAAAAAGAAAAATTTCAAATGCTTAAAAAATAAAAAACAGTGATGTCTACTTTGAATTTCAACAAACAAAGCCTGCTTTACTGGATTGTGTAAATGACGTTTACACGCAACGATTTTATTGCAGGTTATATGCAGCGATAATAGTTTAAAAAAAATTAATAAATGGTAAGCTAGCATATATCACATACATATATGTCACCTATAAGTCGTGGATGATATTGTTTAACTAATTTTATTTTATTCTTATTATTATATGTATAAAAATTTGCGCATAACAAATTTAGAATTTCAGGAATTAATTTTAAAACTAATTTTAGAAAATAATTTAAAATTTTTCAATTTTTGGTTTTATAGCATGGCTTGAATAATCACATGGTATATGTGTATATAACAAAGTAAGTTTTATAGTAATTTCATTAGAATTACTGTTCAGGCACATAAATTAATCATACTATATTCTTATTCTGTTCTCATTCGTTCAACAGCTTCAAAAATTGTTTGACAGCTTATTCATTATATGTACTGGTCAACCCACCTACTTTATAGCTACTCATGCCAGTCAGTCAACTACCTACTACTTTATATGTTTGTTTTATCATGTATTTAATTAAGTCTAATACCATGTTCCCACTGTAGTTAACTTAATTTATGTTAATCATGGTATGGTATTTTTTGATTTCTGCATCACAATTTTCAATTTCGTATTGTAAAGGTAATATGTTTTGTGAAAATTTCAACCTTCAACTAAAAAACACTATTTTAGCTAATATAAGCAAAGACAGAAAGCCTCCTTACCATCGCCAAAATTGAATTGACATTTTTTCCTAACTCTTATTTTCAAATTTTTAATTTACATGTCAAACAGAATACACATAAGCAGGCTACCTGACATGGTTGTATTAATAATGGCATTTTATGCGTTCTACCGGAAAGCAGACATAGTTACAAAAAATAAGCTCAATAGACTCCGATGAATTGGTCATGTAGATCGTATGCATTTAAAGGAACATACTCGGAAAACTTTTTGACAGATTTTATGTTAAGCGGCTATGAGGAATATTATATCTTCACTAAAAAGATGGCAAATATCAGTATACTGAGGCTTTGTGGTACTCAATTTGAGGATATCGGGTCACAATTAACGTTGTAGAAAGCATTTGTTAAAAGAAACCAAGACCGAACTCTTTTTGATAGACTTATGATGATGATGAATCACATCACAATTTTATTAAATTGTCCATGACCGGACACCAGTTGTTGCGTCGATAATAATGATGAATACATTATAAATTTCGTGTATTAAATGGTTTGGTTATGTGAAAAAGAAAACCTTTTATGATAGATTTATGGTAAGAGACAGCGAGAGAGACCATGTGTGCGCTGGAAGAAGTAAATTATGATGCTCGAGAGGGTAATCAGTTCGATAATATCAGCTCGCAAACCTTATCTTTTGTGAAACTTGTTTAAGTAGGCTAAAATCGGGCACCAGTTGTAGTGATGATGATAATATTTGGTGTCACCTACTTTGAGTACTAAATAGTTTATTATTTATTCATTTATTTAATAATTCATTATTATTTAAGTAATAGGCTATTAAAGTACCCCGACCTAAAAGATCTATTGTGCGCCTAAAGAACCAACTGGGACAATTTTAGACTATTTATAATCTTGTAATTGCTGTGGGCTTTATTTTACCTATTTGATTTGGAACTAAGATCCCGCATGCAAGGTAATCGAGTCTACGTCTTGCCACCGCTGGGCAGTTGCATAGAACATGTTCTGATGTATCCTTCTCCTAATGACAGAGTCGACAGGAGTCACTTTCTACCACACCTATAATCTTCATGTAGTAATTAACTCTACAGTGTCCTGTAAGAAGTTCAGTTTAGATTTTAATATTGTTTCTGCTTAAGCCAAGGATAGCATCAACTTTGATGTGATCAGGATCAATGAATCTTTTTGACTTGTGCATGCCTGTGTGGGCTTTCCAGTGTTCAAGTAGATGTTGTTTCTCCCGTTCACATAATTCATAATTTATTTAATATATTTATTTATTTATCTTTTTATTAATTTATTTATTTATTTACTTATTTATTTATATATTTATTTATTGATTGATTTATTTACGTATTTTTTTAATTATTTATTTATTTAGTAAATTAAAATTGTATGTAAGCTGTGATATATAATATGTGAGAAGATTAACTCATGACAAAGTTTTTTGTTGAACAAATCTAAAAATTATTATTTTTTTCTTACTTATATTTGTTGACATAATTATTAAATAGTAGTTTTGTATATTATTTCTACAATTTGACTATCCCATGTCATATATTCTCTATAGACTTCA